CTTTGTCAGAGGGTTTGTTGGAATTCTTTTGAAGGAAATTGGCAACATTTTGAACTGCCTACATACAAATTTCAAAGGTTGGCTAGGGAGGGGGGGTGGGGGAGAGGAGGAATGTTGTGATGCCACTGGGTACTGCAAGCTATTAAGGGTTGGATTGTTAGGCTGTGCGAGATGGGTAATCTAAAAGCATGACAAAGTATGGCTGTATGGAGCTTTTGGTACATAAGCTGACTTAAGTCTTTATTTTTTACCATGGTTGATTTTTCTTAGACTAGAATATGACTTTCTATGTTTATTTTGTTGGCCTGTAGATGTGCAGTTTTGATGTTCCAGAGGGAGTTTGCCCAACGTTTAATCGCTCAACCTGGAGACAAATTGTATTGCCGGCTGTCAATCAACACACAGTTGCTAGCCAGGGTTGATCATCTGATGAAGGTGTGTTGAATCTTAATAAGTATCTCAATATTACGGGCCGGTTACTTACACGAGGTCTGACCCAAACCGCGGTTTTTACGCAAGTTGTGGTCCTCAGGGATTCTGTATAAGAGGGTTGGTCTAGTTAAATAAATGTCCTCTCACTATTAGCGTTCGGTCCTCTTTACACTGTTTACAAAAATAAATTTGCAGATGAAAGGTTCGGCTAAATTGAAGATGGCTTAGAGCGCGGTTTTATTAAACAACGGCTAAAAGTTGTTTAAATAACAGGCCCTACAAGTTGATCAGAGACTTGCCCAAAAATGATAGCAGTACAGTGAAATACAGCCTGCTAAATTGACAAATCATTACACGCTTGCCTACTGAGAGATATAATGGTAATGTTGGTTATTTAGTGTTATCAACTGAGTTGAAAACGTAAATTGGCCACCGTAAAGGGTGAAAAAGGTGACGTTTCGAGCGTTAGCCCATCGTCAGAGCGATTGGAGGGCTAACGCTCGAAACGTCAGATTTTTTACCCTTTACGGTGGCCAATTTACGTTTTCGACTTAGTTGTTAACACTAAATTACCTGCTATACTCTCCCACCGACGCAGCACTACAGTTTCTTTAGAAACTTACCCCCTTTATCATGGTAATGTTGACAGGTTGGGAAGAACAATTTCCGGCCTCCTCCAAAAGTCGAGTCCAGTGTTGTGAGAATTGAACCCAAAAATCCACCACCTCCTATTAATTTTAAGGTAAGAAGCTGTTATTTATAAGCTTTATTACTTACACGACTAAGACTAAGACTACGACCCCTTTTCGTTAGCGAATGCAAGGTTTTGACCCTTTTTAGTGATTAGCATCTAATTTCTCTTTACAATATCACCCCTGAATCACACATGAAGATCACGAGAACAAAGGAAACGATCACCAACTAACGAAGCTCTTGATTAGTAAATAAATTCTCCTCGACGGCACCTTTGGAAATGTATAGAGAACAGAATGGAGAAAGTGCATACTGATGTTAGTGTGTAAAGCGCTAAGAAGGACACTTAGACCTCATCAAAAACAATTCTGCATTACTTTTTTTTTAGGAATGGGATGGTCTTGTGAGAGTCGCGTTTGTACGAAAAAACAAAACACTAAATTCATGTTTCAGGTAAGCTCGTGATGTCTCTTTAATGTAGCTCGAAAAATAGAGTTTAAGACTCTTATGTAGACATTCACCGATTCAATTGCTTTCAAAATGTATTCACTAAAACGATTCTTACTAACGTTTCTGTTTTGTTTTGTTTTGTTACAGTTCACGAGCGGTCGCAGAAATGTTGGAGAAAAATTACAAGATTCACTGCTCGTTAAATGATATTGTAAGAACTATTGTTTGTCTTTTTTTAGCTTTCAGTGAAAGATTAATCTTAATTTTATGACTGATAGCCAGAGTTATCAGGTTACGGATGCTGCAACGAAACACAACTGTTAAAAGTCAGTAATGCCCAAATAGATCTACTTTGGCCAGTCGTATGCGGATTTTCCGCGCAAAATTTCATGGGACAACCCGAGAAATAATGACTGTCTCCTGTACATTACAACTAATTACTAACCACAATGATTTTACGTTAAAGATGGTAGATGAAGGATTTGATATCAAAGAGAAAGTTCAAAAGTTGTTAACAGAAAATGGATATGACAAGAAACGAGCACGCACAATGGATATGGATGATTTTCTCGGGTAAGAATTTCACACTCTAGTTGGATCACGTTCATTAACTGTTCTGAGAATATGCTGTATTTTACCTTATTCGATATCGTTCAGTCTGCGTCTTGTCAATTTAGAGCAGTTAATTGAGTGTCGACAGTAATCTGAGAATGAAAAGTTTTGGTTACTTCTCGCTGATTGGTTACAGAATTTGATGCCACTTCAACCAATCAAATGCAAAGCTTAAACCGATCAAACCTTGGTCACCCGCGTTTTCCCGCCCTTCATGAAGTTTGCTTGTTTTATTTTGAGTTTTAATCGGCTTCTAGTGACTGGATATATTTGTTGCTTCTGACTGGTCGACGTGTCAACTTTGTTGGTTGTGTTACGACAATCAATCGAGAAACGCTTTTCGAAAATCATGCCTCAATTCCGTCGGATCACCTTAGAATTGCCTATCGTAATTTCCCTTTTTTTATTACGTAATCCAACAAATTTACGCTTTGTAAGCGCAGCATTTATCACACCATGATTGATTTATAGACAGTTATTTGTTTGTTTGTTTGTTTTTCAGTTTACTTCACTTATTTAATTCCAACGGTATCCATTTTACGTGATGGTGTCGATGGTGTCTGAAGAATATCCGTTTTAATTCCTGTACATAAATAGCAAATATTCCGCATATGATTTTAAACTGCTATTTTTGGTTCAGTCACTGATCTCTTTAAATACTCAGGAAGTATTGGTGTTTCGTTGGTTTTCTCTAATCAGCTTCGAATTTCTGGTGAGGCCAACAGAAAGGAACATACATTATTGATAAGAGACATCTTTGTTTTTGGAAAGAAAATAGAGAAGTCTCGGGCTACAGCGATTGAAAACTCTACACACAATGTTTATAAATTGAATAAAGAGAGAAGCCTTTGAAAGCTTTTGTAAGTTTTTCATGAAGAAGAGCGCGGAGACTTTTACATTGACAAGTTTGCCTAACTCAAGCTAACTCTACATTGCAAAGAAATATTGTTAATGATGTCACAGGAAGATACATCACACTGATTCTTTTGTAACGTTTACCAATGGGACTATCATGCAATGTCCCTGCGTAAACATAATATTTTCCCGAATTAACTTTAATGTGTAGAGAATGAGAAAGATGTTCAATTCGTTTTATCACGAGCTTTGGACAAAGTAAATAAAACAAAGTTCCAACTACGGAGCAAACTGTATATCTTTGGATTTCGCGTTTGCATGCCCTGGTAACTAAACCAAAGAGATGTCGTCAGTAAGCGAAGCTATGTTCGATTCCTCTAAGGGAATTCGCATTGTTCCTTCGTCGCAAAGTAAAATACATCTTTCTTTATTCGCGGACCTTGATCACAATAAACCATCTCTCTTTCTCTATTTATGTACTCGACGCTTTCGACACTTCTTGTCCTCGCAGTATTTGGGGCACCTGTTGCATACGTTGTGACTTCAATTTCTTCAAGAAATTTCTTCGTTATCTTACATCGTTAATTCAGTTAAGATATTAAAAGTAATCGGTTGATTTCTGCAACTAGAACGTGCACGCATGTAAGCTGGAAGGTTCTAAAGGAATCAACCAGCAGTTTTGATTTTCTTACTGATGATCAAAAATCACTGCCTCGGTCAAAAGTGAAAAACAGGAAATCTCGGATAATTCCGATTAATTTGAACTTTATTAAGAGATAAATTCTTCATTCCATCTATCATTAGTTTGCAGATAGGGTTACAGATGCCGTTCGCAATCTAGATCTCGCAGAGAATCCCGAGAAGAACCCGCTGAAAATCCCGACGGAATCTAGGTGTAAATCCCTGGGGCAGTTGCGGGAATTCCAACGGCAATCCCAGTTGATATCGGGTGGGAATCTTAGGACGATTGGTGTTGATGCAGAATATCATCAGTTAAACAGATCTAGAGAAGTTTAACATTTGTATCGGTGGCAATCCCGGCAGGAATATTTGCGAAAATCCTTACGGGAATTCCAACACGCTCTTGGCGATTGACGTCAGAGCGGTAGTGAAGAAGTTGAAGCTGTCTCGCAAGGTTTCAGCGAGAATCCCGTCGGAAATACCTCTATAAATCCCTGGAGGCCCTAGCTGTGATCCCGGCGTGATCCGTGGGCAGTCCTTACGGGAATCCGCAAGAAATCGCGTCACAATCCCGTGCGAAGATCCTTTCACGATCTTAGTTCAAATTACCGTCAGGGCTACAATTTTGATGATGAAAATTAGTAGGGAATTTATCATGGAAGGTTTTTGTAAAAATTGAGTCGTGGTTTCCACGGGGAGGTGTGGTATGCTCACGGTAAGATGAAAGAAAATTATTAAAAATAAAATAGATTAATAGAAAACGAAGGAAATACTCCGGACTTATCTGTATTCTCAAACTATTTGTTTACGAGATCCATGGTAATTGATAGATCGAGAAGCAGATTCGTGGGAGACTATTCTAGATTTTTGTTTGTATTTTTGATATAACGCATTGATAACTCTGAGGGCAGTTTATTTTTAACTATGCTGATGAACTGAATATCACTCTAAACATTAAATACATCATTGCTAGTAGGAAAATAAAGAAATTGAAAATTTCCCGCATTATTTGGAGTGTACTGCGATAGCACAACGGGAAATGAGGGTTATTTCATAAGTCCTTAGGACAAACAAGCTTGATTGTCATACGTGTTGTGAGCTTAAAAAATAGCTATCATTATTGTCTGCGTAACGATGCTGTAAACCCACAATAAAAAAAATCGTAAGAGGATTTTGTCGACTGTTTTTTTGTGGGCGTTCACCACACCGGAAACCACTCTGGAATCTAGTTCTTGTTATACTTAGAAATTACTACTTTTACCTCACCGGCTTTTTTGACAGATGAGGTCGAGTATGATCCGCTAGCCATGAACAATCATTTCTATCACGTATTGACAGGTTGATATTGGGTTCCACCGATACAGGTCATTTCACTTAGTAATGCCGAGTGACTCACGAACTTGTCTGGGGGACTCTTTCTTTGTTCGCACCCGGTTTAAATTCGCTTATCTACAGTCATCTTTTGTGAGGGTTCGGTGAATGAAAACTTTCGTGTTTATTTGTGTTACGAGAACAAACTACGAGTTTATCAAGGATCAATCTACTGATTGAAGAGTGTAAATTTTAATTTGCGGAATCGCTGTAATCTGTTCATTCTTTCAAGACAAATTCGCCCTTCGGCTGGACTTGACATAGGACTGACTAATTGTGACAGCAATTCAATTGCAAAAGCACCAGAGGTAGAATTGGCCAAGGCTTGAACTTAAGAATACGCGAATGGAGTCAAGACTCCTGAAGTTTTGTCTCTGGCTATTAACAATAACTGCTCTGACAAGTTTATTTGCGAGAACAGTCAAAGCCAACAGAATTACAACTCAAAACAGTAAGTAAAGAATTCAAGATTCATTTTATTGTCTTATGATTTATAACAAGTCTGTTTGTGGTTCGTTCGTATCAGTCTAATTGAAGAACTAAAAAAATTTCACGGCATCCTTGTTTATGAAAAATCGTTCGTAAAGTATTATCAGGAATTTTCAGTTAAACTCAATAATGGTTCCACGGAAAATTTAGACACAAAGAATATCGTTGCTTATATAATTTACAGACACTACCGAGACGTTAAACTCAGCCAATATTTCAGTAGTATGCATCAAATTAAATACGTAAGATTATTTACTAAGTCTCGTTTAAAGATATTGAATTGGAAAAAAAATGTTATTGAAGGTTGATCAAATTATTTTCATTTGTTTACAACTTTCTTTCTTCTTAAGACATGGCAGAAATTTTAAAGGAAAGATTTTAACAAAGATTTTAAAGCCAGAGAACGAGGTTTAGCTGTCTCCCTAGGGAAATTTTACGAACTTCAAGCTACCTATTTGCTAACTTTCTACTTTGTTTTCAATTGTACGTTTGATATGAATGCTGTGGAATGAAAACGATTAAGAAGTCAGTGACAATTATAAGTTTTTTCGTGACTCCAACCTAATCTCGGTAAATTAATGTTTGGCTTCGTTACGCTTTCCGCGTTTAATAATTTGGTCATTGGTTTTCACCTCATTGAGATACCTATCACTCAATGTATTTAAATCCATTAGCAAAATTTAGTTATTTATCAGAAAAATGTCCTTTATAGTATCCTCGATCATAAGCAGTGCTTTTTAAGTAAGTTCATTCAACTGTTTATAATGTGGAGTCCGATTAGCGACAGACAGTGCCCCCTCAGGTTATAATGCCTTACTGACAAGCCACTGACTAGTATTTTAAAAATTTCATCACAATCAGGTCAGACAAAACATGCATTAAAAATAATCAGATTAATTAACGAGACCTTTCGAAACGAGACCAATGTTGATTTTGTTAAGATATTATTTACTATGTGACAGGATCCCTCACAACTCGAGACTGGTGCCGGAGAGCAAATACATTTTTCATACTATCGACTCAATTGCTTGAATAAATCTTAAGTCTAGCCAAGCTTAGGAAACGTATTTTACTGGGCTTACAATTTCCAGCCTTTTTCAGGTTAATACAATTATTTTGCACGGCAGAACATCCCTTTTGGATCTGAGAAGCATATAAGCGTAATGGAGTATTACAAAACCTGTCTTTAAAGTTCAAAATTTATAGAGATGTGAAATCAAGTTTGTGTGCTATTTCCGGCTATGTTTGCTAATAGCGCTTGTGGTTAAATCATGAATGGTGTTTTAAAAAGAATTATTTTCCATTAGGGATTTCAGTTGTCTCCGATTTTGCAGCACTTTTTAACCGTAAAATTGTTTTAGAGCGAACATCAGCGGAAACTCTGTTTAAACCATGCACTTCGACTATGAGAAATTTCCTTTAGAATCTAGTAAGCATAATTTTTATCGCATCAAATAAGCTTACTCAAATAAGCCAAGGGCTAACGGAAAAGAGGAAGGAAATGAAAAAAATTTCGTCAGAGCGCTGATAAGGAAGGTTAGTTTTCTTAGTCAAACTGTGGGAGATAAAATATGTTCTGGTTTGTTCAGTCTACATTCGTGAATTTAAATGACGATTAAAGCGCTTTATGAGTATTGTTTCATCGGCTTAATGGGTCGTGAACCAAGATAACTGGCTACTTGTTACTGCACGCAATATCTGATCATTTGAGACCGCGATCCCGAGGGAGGGTAGGGCCAGGTAAATGCGCACTTTTTGACGCATCTGAATATCGAAAAGAGAGCGACAGTCAAATCTTAAAGGGCTCTGATGTAAAAATATTATAATCAACGCATTTTTATTTAAAACTCCCTGTTAGAAAGCAGAGTTGAGACGATTAGACTGATATACTTAAATTTTTCCTTTTTCAGGTCATGGAAAACTTCTCGAATGCTCTGCCACCGCAAATTCTTCAACGGCGGTTTTTCTGACGCGGAAAGAGTCTGGCAAAAGTCATAAAACTCCCAACAATGGAAATTTTTCTGTAAGGGAGTATACCACAATTGTAGCCTTATAATGGACCCTATGAACAATTCCCTCCAGCCAGGTTAAATTTGATAAAACTTTTATTCATTTATCTAGATTCCTTACAGACCTTTCACAGTTAACGAAAAACTTGTTGCTACAAGGCAACATGGTTATTGTAAAGTACTCGTAAGAACAAAGAGCGACGGTGAGTTGGTAGACAAAGTAGAGGAAGTTTTTAGTCAAATACTGAGCACTTACGTAACTGGTCATTATCAAATGAAACAAAGTAATTACGTATAAAAACAATTCATATCTCACAGAATTGCCATAGAAACTAACATTGCCGCCTTCTATTGTCATGGTAACGAACACGCCTCCATGGTGTCACACGAAAACGATGTATTGAGCCAAGTTTGAGTACTGGTCCGAGTCGCGTGGCGCGCCTTTCAAGTCTCGTCTTTTAAAGTCGTGTCTCTTAAGTCGGGGGCTTTAACAGGTCGCGGATTTTAGAAAAAAGAATTGTTTTTGTATTATTTGCATTGTTTTATCTATTGTTTTTAATTTTTTATCTTAAGGTGATTCCTCAGTATTGCATCGCACATCCTGTAATGAGCACAAAATCATGTAATCATGCGATTAAGTGCGCGCGCATTCCGAGAGCAAGGTATTGTTTTTCAAGCAATGTGCCAGGCAAAGATGGTCTTTAGCTCTTGAACGAACACAGTGACCTATATTTCTATTTATATAATTTTGGTGTACAGATTATAACCTCGAAAGCAACGACTCGAGGAACGTTTTATGTCGATGTAGTTAAAAATTGCGTGATTTTTCCACAAATTATAGACAAAATTGTTCCATACATTCGAGACTTTCTACCTATCAAGTGCCCTTTTTTTAAAAACCCTTGCTTCTAACCACCGTGAACCAGTGCAACTGCGCGTGTGATTAATGCCAGTAAAGGCATAAATGAGGTAAGTTTGGCCCATAATATTTCGTAAAAAAGCACGGTGAACTATCTTTTTCATTGTAGTTTTTGAAACAGTCATCAGAAGGGAACATTTAAGGAAAGTTTAAAAAAAGTAGTTTGGTAACTTTTTTTCTCAGGAATCACCCTAGGGGGAAGGATGTTGATACACGACGTATAGCAATACTATAATATTTAAGCGTTAGTTGAACCGGTTCACCCTCCCAAAACATATTATGCCGTCCAATCTACTCGACGGTAATGGTAACCAAGCTTCCCAAAATGTAGATCAGAGTGAACCCCGATCCCTAACCGTCCATCCCGAATCCCGAATCCCGAGTCCCGAATCCCGAATCCCGAATCCCTTATCCTTAATCCTTCATCCAAAGCATCACACGCAGAGCCTTACCCCTAAACTCTAACCCAATCCCTTAGGTTATCCTTTACTCCTAGTCCCACACTCAGCTTCCGAACCGCAAATCCCTAATCTAGTGTCTCAATCGAGTCAAGAATCCCTCATCTTTTTCCCGAATTCCAGTTCTATAATTCGAAGCGCTACGCGCAAAGTCCCACCCACTTGATCCT